GGCTGCCCCAGGCTTCCTGGAATCAGCCGCTGATCAGTTTCAACAGCGGCTGAATCTGGACGCCAGTTCCGACTTACATACAGATTCAACTTAAGAACAAACCTACAGTCCCTATCTTGTACGTAACCGGGGACTGCCTGTATAGCTAACTGGAATAACACACAGAATCCAACTGGACCAGTGAAGAACCCTTACACGGATATGCAAGTAAGTGACATTATTGCTACGGAGTTTTCTGTATACAGTTTGGACAGCACTCTAGGATGAAAGGAGCTATATAAAATGTAAGATACTTTGGCTCACATTAAAAATTATACCAATTCTCCAACAAATATGGAAGGGAGACGGCATATGTAGGACACTTGTGTTGACCAATCCAATTATTATCTGCTGTGTATTTTTATATTAAATATTCTTAGGGTTATTGTGTAAAAGGTACCATAAAAAGTAAAAATCAACACTCCTTCTCATTGGCTGAATGTTTTTCATGGCAGATGAGGGAAAGAAGCTGCACTAGACAAAACCTAACAAGGCATCCTGGATTTCAACTGGTAAGATTAGTGAAACAGTAGCGGCGGTTATTTGTTCAGGCTTGGCTTCATTTTCTCCTGTTGTTTCCTCTAACTAGCCCAGAGACTGAATCGGTCGCACACTGTGAGAGACATAAAGCAGAAATAGCTCTCGTGAAATAGGAAGATTGTGTCAACTCAATTTTTACAAATTTACCCAAGGGAAAAATTTCCCAAGAACTTAAGTTGAATCACCCTTTTTCAGTCTCTTCTGTGATTTGCCAATAGTGTCAGTTCCAAGTGATGAAGTGGGTCTTACCCATGAAAGCTCATGATACTATATATTTTTGTTAGTCTCTGAGGGTGAGTCTACATGTACCGTTATTTTGAAATACCTAGCATTATTTTGAAATAACAATGTGAACGTCTACACAGCCATTCCATTATTTCAAAATAATTTCAAAATAACAGACAGCTTATTCCAAAATCTGTAAACCTCATTGTACAAGGAATAATGCTTATTCCAAAATAGCTATTTTGAAAAAAGGCACGTGTAGGGCTGTGTCTAAACTATATCCCTTTCTCGAAAAAGGGATGTAAATTAGACACTCCGAAATTGCAAATGAAGCCGTGCTTTAAATTTCCCGTGCTTCATTTGCATAATGGTGGCCACGTATTTTTGAAAAGGGGCTTTTTGAAAGAAAAACGGCTGTTTAGATGGGGATCGTTCGAAAATAAAACCTTCAAGGAGCACAGGATCTTTCAAAAAATGGTTTTATTTTCGAATGATCCCCGTCTAAACAGCCATTTTTCTTTTGAAAAGCCCCTTTTTGAAAAAAAACAAAACCAAACCATAGTCGCCATTATGCAAATGAAGTGTGGGAAATTTAAAACCCAGCTTCATTTGCAATTTTGGAGTGTCTTATTTACATCCCTTTTTCGAGAAAGGGGTGTAGATTAGACACAGCCTAGATGCTCCACTACTGCTCTTTTGAAATAACCCCTCACCAGGCCCCATTCTAAGTTATTCCTCCCCAGTACCTCCTGGGGCTCTAAATCTAAATAGCACGTCTACATTAGGGAAACCTGCCTCGGACTAATTCTGAGGCTTCCCTGCAGTGTAGACGTGCTATTTCTAAATAACTGTTTTTGAATAGTTTATTTTGAAATAGCTATGAACTGTAGATATACCCTAAGGTGTCATAGGGCTACTCATTGTTTTTAAAGTTACAGACTAACGTGGCTACCCCTCTGAGACTTTATAACACTGCTATGTTAACCAATGAGTTCTGGTCACATTTGGTTTGAATTCCATTGGCTCTTAACTGATTAACACACTACAAAAGCAAATTTGCCTCTTTTTGATATTCACATTTCCACATCAGATGCTGTGAATGAGCCTCTTCCATTGTGACTTTATTAGCCTCATTAACACAATATACTTACCCCTGCCTCTGTCACTTCCAGAGGCTCGCCACACTCTTAGCCCCGAACCCTCCTACACCCAAGTCCCTTGTCCTGAGCCCCCCCCCCATACCTCCCAACTCCCTACCCTGACTCCTGAACACCCCTAGACCCCTGCCCTGAGCCCCTCCTTAGGGACCTGAGCAATGCTGGGTAAATGTGTTAGTACTAAATATATTTATTTTACTCATGCAACTATTGTCACTAAGGACTAATGAAACAATATGTGAAATGAGTATGATGGTAGTTTTGTTTTTCAGAAAATGACTTCAAATTTGTACTTTACTAGCTTACCTCTTTATTCAAAACTGACTTTAATGCTAATACTATTGTGTGACATATGACTCATGCTAGAAGTTATTCTTGCTATCACAATAGGCTTTTTTTTCCCTTTTCAATTTAAATATTTTCAGAGCAGGGAGCTTGACTTTAATGTTTGTAAAGCACCAAGTAGGCTTTTAGTGAACTAAAAATAAACTGGTTTATCAATCAAGTTATCAAAACCATTATTTAGGCACATGTTTTAAAAATTGATTAGTTTATTTCCATCACTGTTATTTCCATAATCTTTCTCCATTTTGCAATACAAATATTTTTATAGCTTTAAAGATTAATTTGAAATTTGTTTTGATGTTGGTAAAATCAGATTTGTGACTCATCATCTTATATGCTACCCACAGCCTCTTAGAACCATTTCATGATTGACTTACTAATACTAATGGCTATTGGAAGACAGATTAGATCGATAACTGGCAGACACAAAGAAAGCAAAATGTTCCTAACCATAGGGCTTGCCAGCAGTCCTCCAGGATTTGATGGAGTCTATGACTTTGATGTAGCTGAGTTGTTTTCTGTTCAATACAGGACCACAATCTGAAGAAGGGAAATACAATTTTTGTACTAAGTGCCTGGTCCTACAAACCTTACTCCTGTGATTAGTGCCAGGGGCTATAGTGGGACCCTGCATGTATAAGCTTTGAAGAATTGGACCCAAATATTTATTTGCTACTAATTTTATTTAAATGTTGATGTAAACAATGTGAAAAAGGAGAATGGATTTGTCTGTGTATTGTGTGTTACAAATGAAGATATACTCAGTGATGTCACCTCACATTTGTTGAGAAAAAGGTAGAAAATTAGAGGGGGAAATAATGCATATTATCTTTCATTCGGTTGCCCAATGCTGGAAAAGAGACAAGAGATCATATAGGGTAGAATTTGGTTTTGCATAGAGCGATAGTGAAGCGATTTGCAGCCTGTTTGTCCTTGCATGGACATATTTTAAGTAATGTTGTGACCCTGATGTTACTTTCTTGAGTAAATGCAGATGATTTTGTAGGCATGGCAAGACCATAACTGAACTCATTTCATCAGGGACCTCATTAGATTTATCTGTAATTCACTTGAGGGGACACAGTCTCACCAAATGTGGCTTAAAATTTGTTTCATTATGGTTGGTTGAGTATTACATTCTTTAAAACAACCTTGTTCTCTTTTAAAGGTTTGGCTAGTTTATCAGGTAGTCTTAAAGTAGTGCAAATGAATTTTTAGTTTGTATTAGTACGCTGCTGCTTTGCCACAATGGCTTCATCATCTACATTGGGCATATTGAATGCACATGCGCGCGCACACCCACACCTTTTGGTTTAACTAAATTGTCTCTAAAAATTGTGCCAGGCGACAGCCCCTTTTCTATGTTGCAGCTCTAACAAGCTTGAAAAATGGTTCAGTTTGAATTTTGGGGAAAATTTCTCCAGTGTAGTTAAAACCATTGAGCCCTGGTTGAACCCCATTGCTTTTCTCTCTGACAAAGTTTTCTGCCACCTATATGCTCCTGCATTACTCTGTGTGTTTGTTCATGTGGCAGATTTACTAGGGGCAGTCGGCAGATCTTTCATGGAAAGCCCTCCACCTTGGATGTTTGTTTCCTCTTGCTGTCTGCCAAAACTAGGGTTTGATAATTTTTAGCAAAATGCACAAATTAGATTGGTTGCTAGCAAATGAAGCTAGATAGTGGTTGGCTTTGATTTTTGTATTTCTCTCTGTTTGGACAGCGATATAGATGAGTCACTCTCACTACAGTGAGTTTCAAGTCAGTTCCTCTTTTAGGTTCTTGTGCACAAGGCCTGGGTTGCAGTTTTTGAGAGGCAAAGAGTGCCAAGGAATTTTAAAAGACTGACTGGAATTTTAAGAGAATTAATAAAAATATTTGACAGGTTTTATGGATTTGTGAAAGCTTATTTTTACAAAAAGCAAATGTTACCCTGCATTAAACAAGGCTCATTTGGCTTAACTGAAATAATTTCAATAATTTAAAAACAAAATGCTCTATTGGTCTTCTACTTAGATTCTGTACAGTAAGCTGGGGTTTAATCAAGAGTTGAATCATTTTTACCTGAAGAGGAAACGAGGTTAGCTTGCATGGCTTGGGCTTTGCTATTCCTTGTATTTGCTCCATTTTGGTACATCAGAAAACTCCTCCTCTCCTAGAGCACAGAAATAGTTAAAACCTCATTTTGGAACCTGATTCAGTTCTAGTGACTTCAATAGGATGATGATTCAACTGTGAGACCCCAAGACAGCAAGAAATATTTGTGCAATTTAGGAGAAAAACATACTTACGAGATCAGTAAGATACACTTTTGATCTGTTGTCCATTTTATGGTCTGAAAAGACTCTTGGTGTAACTATGGTCTCTGAAAGTTAGCAAGATAAAATAATAAAAAAAATAATAAATAATGCTACAAGTTCAATTATTTTCTATAAAATAGTTCACACACATACTATTTCAAATATAGATTAATTTTTGTGTGTAACAAGGTACTTACATTCACAGATATATATTTTAAAAGAACACAGTATTTTATTGGAATTAATACTGATTCTAATATAAATTTGAATGTAAACCTATTTTATTGTAAACTAGGTTGTACTGAATTTCACCACCAAATGCTCTCCCCTTGAATTTACTCACATGGCACAGAAGCACATGATTTAATCAGCCTAGGTGTTGACTGAGACTGGGTTTTATCTGATTTCTGTACAACTAGTTTCAAGTAATGACTTCACAATGTATTTAACATGGAGTCTATGACCTTATGATTTGTGAAGCAACAGTATCATCATTTGAGACCTGAAACTGAGTAGCTGTATTGTGAGCTTTATTACTCATTAAAAGCTGTCTGATAAAGAGGTTATTAGAACAGAAGTGCACCAGTTAAGTAAGTGGATCATTGATACAAAAAGGAAGGAAAAGTTTAATTTGAAAATGTGTGTTCTTATGAACAGACACAAAAGGGACGATAGTGTTATGACAAAAAGAGGAAGAATAATTTCCTCCTTAATTGAGGAAAACCCGCTCTACCCACTTACTGGGAAATACCACATTTGTGACTCTTCATTTTCGAAAAAAAAAAATCTGTTAATTTTTTGTTCTTAATGTCCTGCTGTCAGGACCCATCCCAAGTGAATTCTGCAAATTATTTCATTTTATCTCTTCAGTTCTTCAGGTCCATGCTTACCTTGCATGTTCTGCAATGCTGGATTCGCAAAGTTTTTCACAAGGTCATATAATTTGATGTTGTTGACACCATCACACTGTGTACACAGCATCAGAGCAGTTTTTAAATGTTGCTTTGATACCATTTCTAAGTGGCAGAATATCATCAGTAAATTGTAACTTATTTGCAATATGCTATATTAGTACTTAAGACCATAATAGAGAATTGACCTAATTTTGCTTAGTTAAAATATAGAAACTATGGTGTAGTTAAAACATATATATTTCAAATTGATCTTTGCAACCAATGTAATATGTATTCAGTGAAACTTTCAACCATTTAGAAAGGACTGAAGTCTGGGGTTATTTACTGAGCAAAATTTCCATTGAATTTAGAAGTCGCTAGTTCTTTGCAATGTAAAAAAACATATTTAACTTATCAGACTGATTACGACACCGAGCGCTTTTCCCATAATAACCAAATATAGATTGTGATTGTAGCTGCAAAAAAACCAAATGTTGCGCTTAATTACACTTATGTTTCAGCTCCCATTGATGCATAATTGCACCTCATCTCAAAATATGATGATCAAACTGTTTATATGCCCATCATATTTAATAGCTGAAGTAAAAGTTATCCAGATAAAAATAATTTAATTTTTTCTAATTTCCATTCTCATTCTTCAGCTGATATTAAACACATGTACAGGCTGCAGTTCCAAGGTGTCTACATGATTAATTTGTAAGTTTATCGAATGTGTATAAAATATGGAATGTTGTAGTTGCTGGTGACTTAGTCTTTTTTGGAATTAAGATATCAGTAAAATAAACACATGCCCTAAAGCGTGACATTATGAAATGCTAGTGGGAGACTACAGTAATTAATTTGAAACTAAAATAGAAGTTCTTGAAAGCAGTGATTTATCTTCAAAGGCAACCACTGAATGGCAAACGGATGATGTAGCAGGCCAGAGCTTTGGCAAAAAATGAGTCTACAGGGCAGCTTCATAATCTGGGTTTCCTCAAAATATGTTTCTCAACCAGGAAGTATATTGTCATGGTGAGGTAAGGAAAATGAAATGAAATCCGTCTGGATATCTTGTTACCTGGACTCGAAAGAAGGAATAAGGGATCTTCTGGAAAAGGGTTTATTTTCCGCAAGATCCTGTCTAGACTGGCGCTTTTCTCCGGCAAAACCCCGAGCCGGAAAAAAGCGGCAGCCATGTTCATGCAAATGCCGCGGGGGATATTTAAATCCCCTGCGGCATTTGCAATTCCGAAGTGTCTCATTAGCATCCCTTTTCCGGAAAAGGGTGCCAATGTAGACACAGCCGTACAGTGTGGAATTATGGGTTGGCAGACCAGCAGGTCTTTGTCTTCTCCAATTGCTCTGATTCTGTCACCTAAGTCTAGTATAACCCTGAAATGGTTAATGTCATCTCAGAAGAGCACTCAATGTCCTTTTACAGAACATGCTGAGTATGTTGCAATCAGGGATATTGCAAATATAAAAGTGGCTATTTACATAAAATTCCAACATTTTTTGTCCAGTTCTATGTTTTCAATCGGTTTGTAAGGTGCTTCTACATTAGGGTTCTTGAGAGCCCTTCTGCTGGCTTGAACGTGAGCTGCTGCAGTTGGAGGATGGCATAGTTGAGTCATGTTTTAGCACCTGGAATAAATCAGTTTCTAAACAATAGCATGGTGTTCCCTGCGGAATTTTTGTAGCTTTCTTCCAGTAATAGTTTCCTGATGGGTTGGCTGTGAAATAGTACTTATTGTGTGAATTTAAAAAGGACCAACTTGCTGTCAGATACTCACTGATGCTAACTAATTGCGTTGTTGCATCAAAATGTTTCATGCAAAACTGGCTGATTGAGTCCAAGAAACGATTTTGTATTCAAAATATCAGTGATACACAAGAGTAAATTTTACTTTTGAGGCCTGTATACTGAATAAAAACTATTACAGCTCTAAGCAGCTTCCTATTTTTCCTTTTTTTTAAGCATATGTTGCCTCCCCTTCAAATAGAGATGAGTTTTTGTGCTAAATAATGTGTTTCAGAGGAAACTGACTTTTGAAATGTTAAGTTACTGTTTTCCATCAGAATGGCCATGTTTTGTCAGAACAGTTCAGTCCCCTGGCAGTGACTAATGCTAGACACCTAGGGTATGTCTACACTTGCACCCTAGTTCGAACTAGGGATGCAAATATAGGCATTCGAAATAGTCAATAAAGCAGGGATTTAAATATCCCGTGCTTCATTAGCATGATCTCTCTGGCATGTTACCCCTTGGTTCGAACTAACGTTACTCCTCATTATCTAGAGGCACATTACTCTGCTTGACAAGAAGAGTGAGCCTCTGACAAGTTCTCATAAATACATGAATTGCCACAGATAAGATGATTCATCTAGTGTGGACTCCTGCCAGTTATAATGGCTTAAAAAAAATGAACACCATGTGCCCAAACCTGTGCAATCCTGAGGAAATATTCTAGATAGTGACATGTACTTAAGGGAAAGTAAACAATCTATTACCTTCATCTAAATACATTGAATGCTTATAGCTTTGCTGTCTGGACTCATTTTCAAGACAAATATTTCTGAGAGCAGTGTCCTCAATGAGCTAAATTTGGGGGTTCAACACACTGGTGCCAATTAGGTTATACTGAAATCAGGGGTGTGGAAAAGTGATGCAAGTGACAAAGATCTAAGCACTGCTCTTAACAGCACAATGTTGGTGTGAGAAGCTCACCTGCCACTCAGGTGGAATGATGCTGACAGGACACTCTCTCCTGTTGCTATGGTGAATCTGCACTAACAGCACCTCTGTACAGTTGGGCCATTGTAGACTAGCTTGGGCTGCCTATACACATTGACAGAAGGTCTAGTTTACAAATAGGCTTTACTCTAAATTCCAACAATCACTTGAAATATACAAGATGTCCTCGCAGAATAGGTGGAGTGCATCGTGTGAAACTTGAAACCTAAACTTGGGCCAAACTGGGCTGGAAGATGTAGGTATTCAATGTTTCAAAGAAACTGGTCTGGCAGTTTTGTAGGAAACACCCATTTAAATAATTTGGTGTAGAAGATGGTCACACACTTTAGTCTTATCTCGTAATTTTGAACATTAGAATCTGGTACCTAGAAAACAGTTTATTACTCAGTACTTTTTTATTCTCACAGAAAATACTGTTTGGTTCTATTACATAACATCATCTTTGGAAGTTTAAGCAAACAAATTTAACAAGTGTCTGACATGACATTACAGCTTAGTATTCCTTTCAACATACTGAAAATAGGAAGATTTCAAACCTCTTAGTAAACAGACTGGTGATGTATTGCTTTGAAATGCTATGGTACAACAGCTAAATATTACCAACTGTTTACACACTGCTGTTCAGAATCATAGCTTTGCACAAAAATGCAGTTACATAATATGTTTCAAATACCTGGCAATAAAAACAACATTTCAATATTCAGCTCTTTTAAACAAACACACACAAATATAAAAATAATGCAGATTAAGTGCAAATACAAATATACAAATGAGTCTCTACATGATACAAAACCTTTAAAAATTAAATACGGACTTCATTCCATCACTTAAGTGCTAGTCTTTTTACCGAGCAAAAATAAATTGATCTGTGAAACTTGTTTAAAAAATCCAAGTTTTATTCATTCTTCATAGGTTTATTCCTTTTGCATCCATTATGGAATCCCTTAGTACCATCAGGCCCTTTGGGTAACCGCAACACTCCGACAGGTAAGCCATCTGCATTTTGGATTCTCCGGGCAAGCATTGGGCTACTTACTGGGCTTTTTTCTTGTGCTACAGTTTTAGCTTGTCGTCTTCTCTGAACCCAGGGGCTACTAGAAGGAGTGATACTGCTATCTGAAGAGTAATCTGCACATTTCCTTGAGATTTCAGGGCTAGTAGTAGGGTTCAGTTTGCTGTCGTCAGCCAGTGGAGACTTCTTGCACACTTTGCGCAGGGAAGATGGGCTATTCCAGGGGCTTGATCGGGGTGAAACGTTAGGGCTCAGGTGGTTGTTTGGATAGGTGGTAGGGCTCAACTTGTTTGTAGGGGTAGGCTTGCGTCCAGACAGTGGAGATGTAGGATTACTTTCTGGGTCAGAGGAGCTGTTTGCTGATGATTCATCTCCAACATACTGAAGTTCCTCAACTCTCTTATTCAGGGATCTCATTTTGTTGAGAGACTTGCTGGGATCTTCATCATGGCTCTTATCTTTCACAACTTTTTTCTTTGGAGGCTTCATACCTATTAGAACAACCTTCATGTCAGTTTCGTTATTCTTTTCAATACACATTATTTCATGAGCTTTAATTGCTGCATCTACTTCTTCAAATTCTACTATTGCACATTCCTTTGTTCCAACTTGAGTGTATCGATTACTGAATCTCTTGACATCAGGTGGAAGATCCTTACCAGGCTTGAGAATGCGAACTGATGAGATCACACCAAAAGTAACAAAGGTCTTGAGAAGATGCTCCATCATCTTTTCTTGTGTGCATCCATTTTCTTGATCGTTGCTCTGAACCTGTAGCTCAGAAATCAAGTGGATATCATACACAAGCAACATCTTGCTAGGCAGGTTCTCACCAGCAAACACTGGAACTGGGGTATTTCTTCTAACCTTCCTGCTATCTTCATTCATCTCAAGAGTGTCTGAATACTTCAAGGCGTAGGCTGTAGTTCTCCAGTCTCTGGTAAGCTGTTTTACCTTTAAGAAAAAGGGTTACACTAATTAATGCAGCTCACTGAAACCCTCAGAACTATAGTTCTACAGCTACTGAAAGCCGGAGGCAAATAGAGACTTAGATTTCAAGTAAAAGATCCCTCTTAAATAGAAACTAGGTGCAGGAAGTATGGGGGGTGTGCCTCCCCCCACTCTCTTTTACTGCTCCAGCAGCAATGTTCCTGCAAATCTTTTCCATCCATATGCAATTTTTTCCCCATCCCATGTGTGGAATGAATGTTTTTGTGCACTGGGGCATGTGCAGATGTTCACCACTAGTAGAAACAAAAACCATAACTATGGGCTCTCTGCTAATCAGCTGCACAGCATTTGAATCTCTCCTGAGCAGCTGAACATGCGGGTTAGTGCTGGGGCTGGAGATTGGCAGCAGCATGTGGCGCTGGCAGGAGAGGATGCAACCAAGCTGATGGACACTAGCCCCGGTCTGCAGTGGGTCCCTCGAGGGGCTGGAGAAGCCCCTTGCCTTCAGCAGGTGGGGCACTACTCCCGTCCCCATCGGTTAAACTTAACTGATAAGCCTCACCGTCAAGGGCGAGGATTACCAGTTAACTGGTTAAACAATCACATCCCAAATGGGCACCCAGCTGGGGTCAGGAGTCCCAGCCAGCAGATTCAAGGGCCTCCAGCCCTGATTTGGATGGGCCTGGATGCTAAGTGAGTATGTCACAGTCCACTCAAGCCCACCTATAGCTACGCTTCTGCTTCTCCCTAAAATTAGGAGTTCCTAAGGGAGGTAGGGGGAAGACCATTTGGATCCTACCAAGCAAGTTCTTCAAGGATTTTTTTTCCAAATTTCCTTCATTCTTAGGCTTGATGGACTTAAACTTCTTTAGGTGTCCAAGAAACTGTGTCTAACTGTTTCTACAACATTTTAGAAGAAAAGAATACATGCAACAGTAGGAGGTTAACCACCTCAATCTTTCAAACTGGCCAAAACCAGCAGTGTGAGGTATCTGTTCAGTAGCTCATTTCCTGTGCCCAGTGCCTCTGACCCCTCCCTGGAGAGAGCAGATTTTAAGAGGCATTTTAGAAATGAACCCACCTTTTTGAAAGAAGTGAGTAACTTAACACTGACATAGCCCATCTTGTTTCTTCTCACATGCTTTAAGAGGAAGGCATCTTTCTCCAGGTTCTCATCTGAGAAATAATATTCAACCTGCATTATAAGCTTCTGGATCAGCTCATTATCCGGGGGTTTCCAGTCCTGGTCCAAGTCGTCGCCATCATTCTCCCCGCCGCTAGAGCAAGACAACAAAGTCATTTTTATACATTGACCTTAATCTGGCCATGGCTTTCTTGCTTCTCATTTGCCTTAGTAGTAAAAATCAAGTTAGCCAACTGCTGATGCTTGTTTAGAGCACGCGGTCCTGGAAACTTTATACATTTGATTCACTAAACTAAGCAGTGTCAACCCTTCAATCCCAGCATGGAGCTTAATTTGGCGGTGGCTCTTACAGTCCATCTTCACTGTAGAAATGTACCAAACATGAGTGAGGAAAGGAATGGGGAAAGCAGGCTGTCAAATGAGAAACTGAGGACAGTGATTAGAAGCACATGCAAGTTTCATCACAACATAAAACTGTTTTCTGTTCCTGGTCCCGGGCTCCTCTGAACAGAAAATGACAAATAGGCCTATGGGTATTGGGGGGACAATCATCTAATTTTCACTGGGGATCTCAACAACTCAACTGCCAACTCGGCATGTGCCTTTTCCCTCATCAACTCTCAGAATCACATGGGCACCACAGCACAGCAAAAGCACGGATTCTTTCTACACAAGTATTTGATAAACAGTGAGTAAATTCAGTCAGTTCTCTCTGCGCGGAAGGATGCCTCTTCAGAAGTGGAATCTTTTCAGTCAGCCTAGGGAGCCAGAATCCTCTGCTCACTGCAAGGCAGATCTCATAGAACACTGAATCATGTACTCAAGGTGCTGAAACTAGGGCCACAGGGGGTGATGCATCATCCCCCGGCTTGAAGGGGCTTCCATTATATACGAGGTTTAGTTTGGTTCAGTGGCTCTCCGCAAAACCCAACTGTTCCAGCTTCAGTATTCCTCAGCAGTTCACAGACCAGTCCAAGTCTTTAGTTAGCTAACAAAATCCGATGCAAATTGCTATCAAAGCTAGGATTCTAACAAGCATTTATACACTGCACAGGACGAAGAGGGTTATACTTCACACATTTCAAATGCCATTTCCATACAAGTGAAGGCACCTATGCTA